TTTTGTTGATAGGTAGAGCTGTGTGTCATCAGCATAACAGTGAAAATGGACACCAAATTTACGGAAGATGTGACCTAGAGGAAGGAGGTAAATGATGAAGAGGAGGGGTCCGAGGACAGAGCCTTGGGGGACACCCGTGGAGACGGGGGAAGACTGGGAACGAAAGGATTTGAGCTAAATCATGCCATCTGTACCAGTTTCTTTAAGGGAGAAACATTTTCGTCTTCCATCCAGAGGACTTCATCAGTCTGTGGCCTGCCAACCACATCTGTCCCATCAGTAGGCTTCATTGCTGTGTTTCAAGCCAACCTCCTGTTGGAATCTCAGAAGCTTTTAACACGTGCAAAAGGACCATCTGTCCAAAATAATCAATCATCATTATAACTTTTTAAAAATATATATTTTTTACTTTTCTTGGTAGAACATGAACACGTCTTCCACTGCTTGGATCTTCTTGACACTGACTGACCTTCATAGATCTCTGCTCTTGTTTGTTGAAAGGAGTCCAGTCTTTACGTGAAGTTTTTTAAATGAACCAGTGAGGCCTGGCTGGTTCTGTGCTCACAACACCGGCTCACAATCCTTAAGGTGCAGATTCCAGCAAGAGCTTCATTTGTCCAGAACTTCACTGAAACGTTTGTAATCTCTGTACACGGTTCAGTTCAAATCCTACAGCAGATAGCAGCCTGACTCTGATACAGGATCGACACAACTCTGTCATTTTATAAGAATTCAATCAGTTTGAGATAATTCCTTTATGACGTCCCCGTCTCTAATCTGTGACCAGTTTGTTTCCAGTTCATTTGTGCTGCACATGTTTGTTTTGTTGCTCAGTTTTTCTCTCTTGAAAAGAAGACAATGGAGGAAGATCTTGACTGCAGAGGAAACCGCTTTCATCCAGATTATGAATCCTGAATTAATCCTGGATTAATCCTGGCTTTTACTGCTGGGAGCAGCAGAGTCCCTGCAGGAGGGTTTCATCCTAAACTGGTTTTCATTCACCATGAGACAAAATGTCTACCTGTTTCTCACACACGCTCAAATGAGCTGCTGATGTGTCAGTGAGAAGAATCTGGCAGCTCATGATGCATTTGAGGACCATTTTCTAGCAGCTCTCATGAATGGAGCCATGTTTAATTCAGTTTGAGACACGAACACAAGATCTGACAACAAGGAGAGGCACACATTCACCATGTTTATTTCAACATTCAACATGTTTATTTCAACATTCTTCAACATTCAGCACGTTTATTTCAACATTCTTCAACATTCAACACGTTTATTTCAACATTCAACACGTTTATTTCAACATTCAACACGTTTATTTCAACATTCTTCAACATTCAACACGTTTATTTCAACATTCAACACGTTTATTTCAACATTAATCACGTTTATTTCAACATTCATCACGTTTATTTCAACATTCAAAACGTTTATTTCAACATTCAACAAGTTTATTTCAACATTCAACACGTTTATTTCAACATTCTTCAACATTC